AAAAGGGAGAGTTTATCGTCTTCGGCCAAATCGTTAAAAGCCTTCTCCTCTGTTTTTGAAAAAGGTAGAACCATCACGTAGCGATTATTTTCATCCGTCACGCCTGGTGGGCTTGATCCACCGTTCGAGTAGATGAAAGAAAATGAATTTTGCCATTCTCCAGTGTATAACAAGGCATTTAAAGAAGCCACCCAACTACGAAGACCATTCACATAATCAGAAGCCACACTACTGCGAAGATCATTCACATAATCAGAAGCCACACTATCTGAAGTTCCATTGCGTTTGTCCAGTCTGGTGAGACTGAACGTTTGTAAAAGCACAGAATTTGAGTTGTTGGCACTGCTGAATCCCAAAATTAGAAGATGGCAAACAATCGAGCATAATAGCAATAACATCAATAGTTTTAGTTTATGTCGCCTCAAATATACCAACGATTTTGCCATATCCTCGCAGTTTTTTTAAACAAAACAATTTTAGCCTAAGATCGAAAGGGTTGGTCATAACAATTATATTTATGTGTTCTGTAACTTGAGCATAGGATTCTCCGAAAGCATAAATTATTTTTCACAATCTGGATCGATGAATACACTATTATGCAAAGTTTAATCAACGAAGACCGATGAGTTTATTCACGAAAGTATTTACAGCTTTAAAATCAACATCAGTTGCATTTACCCTGATTCAAAAGCTGTCCCACATCAAGGATACTGAAGAATTCTAAATGATAATTGGTGGGAAGGAAGATGAAAATTCAAAACAACCAGTTCGACCGTCTGGTAACTTGATCATCTAAAGGCGACTGAAAGTCCTACTCACAGCAATGATTGCGTCCTTGGTCCAGGCCCAGTGCAAAAGCCTCTGTTTTCTTCTTGACGAAATGGCGTTATACCGTTTCATCCAAACGTTTTTTCTCACATTCTAACGGCTTCAACGCGATGCGAACTCGCCTCATGTAAGAGCACGTGAGGTCAGTAGACGTGACGCTTTTCTATGAGAACGCAGACGTTGTCATGTCAGACTTGTACGTCACGCAATCATTCCATCCCATCAACGTTTTAAAGCTGTCATGACCGCCAATTAAAAACAGAGCGTTCTCAAAATATAACGAAACCACGGGTAATGGCGCTTAATACAGGGACCACAAAATAGGGGTACTTCAAAGAAACGACGAAAAACGTCATTTTATGCCATGGTTATTGTCGACAAAATAAGGTGCCTTACGGAAAATCGTCCTACGCGTGCTACTTTTTATCATAATAAAGTTCGGTTAAAACGCGCGCTGTCATTGGTTGAAAGAGTGTGTCCTATGAGAATATAGAGCGTAGAGCTGAGCTAAAGCTGTCGCGCCATCTGCCAAATTGTACTATGTTTGACCTTTTCCGGGACTTCTTTTTAGCTTTTTTTCCGATAATTGAAAGTGAAATTTCGGAACAAGCGAGCCGGCAACAAGCAACAGAAGAACCAAACAAAGGTTTGTAAACATACCAGGCGCCGTAATTTACGTTATTAAAACGTGAGCAGATACGAAAATCCTCAAAGGAAAAACAAAATAGACATTCCGAGTTTAAAGATTAATTCACTTTCAGTTAGATTGCAAGCTTACGTACGGAAATAAAAATCAAACACAGCTAACACTCATACAGTATATAAAGTTCAGTCTTCAAAAACAAAACAGAACAAAACAGAAATGATGAAAAATATAACCAAACTGGCAGAACTGTTAAAATTCATTCTAATCATGACGGTGTCTGAGCGAATATGATCATGCTGAAGTCCATAGCGGCTCGCTCATCATGGCGATCTCCGGTCATCACAGTAAAGCAAGCCTCAGAAACCACATGGGCCACCCTTCGAGTGAAAAAATAAGAGCTTGCTCTGATATCCTTTCCGATGCGTTGAGTGGAAAGTCACATCTGTTACTGCAGCCGAGTTTTGACGCGCTGTCATCCCTAGCGATCTTCATGTTCCGGTGAATTCGGCTGTCGTTCATTCAAAAAACACTCGCCTTGAACAGTTTGTTTTCTACCTTGTCATGTGAAAAAAACTCGCGTGTTGTTTTATGAGCCATAATTCGGCTAAGTTCACTGAACATTTCACTTCAAGATTCTGTATTAGAGACTTAAAAACTTCAGGCAAAAGTGTTAAATTCGACCTGCCGAACCATCTCAAATTATTTCTTCGTTCGATATACTATTTAAACACTAAGCTTTACAAAACTTGTTGGACACAGTTGCGTGAATCGGTAAGAAATCGCGCTTTGCGAAATGTGCGGTTATGTTGCACCATTGCTGCTTAATCGATAACCCAAGAGGTAACTTACCTGGATCAACCATTGGAAGATATTCAGTTCTGCTAATCAAACCCTCTAATGAAACATCTTCCACGCAGCCTAACTTGTAGAGTACAAGGGAGAAAAAACTTTGGCTTCAAGAGTAGCGCTTTGATGTTATTCAACTTCTTAAGTATTTAAAATTTTGTCCAAAGTCTGTAGTCGCACAGGCAATCTTTTGTTTTCACCATTGTTACCTTGATCCAAGAACTGTATACATGACAAAAGGTCTCAAGACCATGCGCTTTGACCAGCTAATAATTTACGTAATAATACTCGCGAGAGGAACTTGTTTGGATCATATTTATACAAATAGGAGCAAGAATATTGTAGATGTACTGGTGCTAAAATATGCTCTTTCAGACCATCTGCCGGGGCAGGAAATATTTCAGGCAATTGATATGCACGCGCCTATCATGCATAAGCGGGTTCTTAAAGTCAAGCAGCCGCGACGGTTAACAAGAGACATTTTAGATCAGCTGTCAAAAAGAGACACCCAATTGAAATTAGCCAGGGCATATAACACCGCTGACGCATGGGCAAGGTTTCGCGGTGCGCGAAATCCGGCCACCAATATGATCACAAGCAAAAGGAAACTACTTCAAGGCGTCGTTTCAGAATAGCAAAGGGAACTCTAAATGTATTTGGAAGTTAATAAGATCCCTTGGAGGAGACCAACCCGTCAACCAGAATTTCTTAAAGTTACCAAAGAAAAGATAATCTCAACAGCGGCAAACATAGCGGATTATTTCAATCTGCACTTTACAGCTGTTGCAGATAAAGCGAAACGATCTCTCCTGGCCACAAACGGCTGCAATCTTGACAAACTCAGATAGTTTGTTAGCGAAAGGCTACCTGTAGAATCACAATTCACTATACCTCTGGTCACAGCTGATATGGTGAAGGCATATTTACTGAAATTCCAGCCAACAAAGCAACTGAAGTTGACGGAATCAGTTGTGCTCTTTACTAGCGCCGTCAATAGCAAAGCTAATCAACCTATCGCTTTCATCGGGGACTTTTCCTTGTCATTGGAAAAGAGCCATAGTGACTGCCATCCATGGATGATGTAAATAACTATAGGCCTATTTCAGTACTTCCCGTGCTGTCTAAAATCATCGAACGTCATGTGCATGACCATTTGTCTGAATATCTAAATGTGCACGACCTCATCTATAAGAACCAGTCCGGATTTAGAAAGCAGTACAGCACAGAGACAGCGCTTGCCTATATAGTTGATACTCTGCGATTCAATCTGGACAAAAACCATATCAATGGTATGGTTCTAGTTAATTATACAAAAGGCCTTTGACATGGTAGATCACGTGACTCTACTTAGCAAGCTTAAGGCCAATAAACTGGATAGGAGCACTTTTACTTTACTTACTCAAGTCATATATAAACAATCGTATTCAACTGGTTTCATTCAAAGGACAGACATCGACCGTTCCATATTGGGTCCCTTACTTTTTGTGTAGTTCATAAATGACTTGCCCTTAAATGTTCACACGCGAAATGACGGCATGTTTGCTGACGACACCACCCTCCTCGCTTCTTCTTATTATATAAATGTAGAAGAGCTCAAGAACACTCTCCCTCGTCGATGAGTGGGCAACAAACAACAAACTGCCTCTGTTTTGTGCCAAATTGTTCCGAGACGAAGACAATACGAACTGATGGACTGCGCCTACGAAAACGTTTAACTGAGTAATGAAGATCGCAAGCTCAAGATAGAGCTCAAGGGAAGCACATTGGAACAGGTCAAGAATGTCAAGCTGCTAAGCCTTGAACTTGATGAACAGCTCAGTTTCGATGTTCATATCGACTCTTTATGTAAGAAGTTTTCAAAGCGAATCGGCATACTTAACAAAATTAAGGCTTACTTACCATGAGCAGAGCGTACACTTTATAATTCTTTTATTAATCCACTGATATATGTTGCAGTGTAACATGGACAAGCTGCTGTAGTCATGATGATATAAATAAGATATTTAAGCTGCAGAAACGCTGTGCTCGAATCGTCCTTGACGCCCAACAACGTAATTAGTACTTTAGGGTAGGTGCCATATAACATCGAGTCTGACATCAAAAGATGCTTAATGGTCTACAAGAAGATTATGGGTACTTGCCCTGCCTATATAAACGAACTGTTAGAACTAAACAAACAGCCAGCACAGCAGAAATACACGAGGTGCTAATTTAACAATTTTACCTTGAAGATACATTAGAGAGAAAGAGGGAGGCCGCACGTTTTCTGCAACAACCTCAAGATGTTGGAATCACCTCCCCCTTAGGCTACGCGCTTCTCAATCTGTAAATACTTTGAAGAATGCTTTGTATAAACATTTTAAATTAAGTCAGCTTAGGGATAATATTTTTACTCCTTTTTTAGATATTTTATTCTTGGATCGCATGATATGAGCAATATGTTTTACCTTTAACTTTTAAACGAAAAAGAAAATTAAAATCCGTTTTTTTTTTGAGCTACAGAAAAAGAAAAACGGAGAGCATTAAGTGAATTTGAATTCCGTTTCCTTCCCGACGGGGAAAAATAAAAAACCAAAATGAAAGTCCATTATCGTTTTTTTACTGCAAAGACAAACGAAAAACGAAAATAAAATTTGAGTTTCATTTTCCTTTACAATTGAAAATCGGTTGGCACTAAGGTACACGGATTATTGCGGTTTACGGATTTCCCGTTTTTTAGCATTTGGTTTTCGGTTTTCATGAAAAATACCGACGGGTTTTCGAATTTGATATCCGATGCAGTTTTTGGTTTTTCCTATTGAATAAACGCTAAACGCAAATGTTATTGAGAGGAATGCGTGACAAACAAATTGAAATATCGAAGGGATCCCTTGGGGGTTCACGCGTCTTGAGTGGAATTAATGTAGTTTACTCTGTATGTTCCACTTGTCACCACTGTATCGGATCGATCAGGGTTTTAATAACTGGGATGTGAAAATGTATCGGTTTTGACAGTTTTGCATGCGGTTTTCGGTCTTGGTCGAATTTTTTCGGTTTTTTGGTTCTGGATGGTTTTTTTCTACGGTTTTGCGGTTTCTAATAGGCCCCAATGCCTCCCTCGATAAAAATTATTGGAGTTTAGTAAATTGGGTTGTCATCTTTCGTGCCTCATATTTTATTCCTGATTTGTTTTTTATCACTGGTGCATTTTCAGATCGACAAAATGTATCTGATTTCCATGACAATTGGTTTTCACTTATTTTCATCCTTAGACGTTTAGACGTGGTTTTGTTATTTATGAAAGTCTTTCCGACAGCTTTTGTGTAGAATTTTACACTCTATATTTATCATTTTTTGGGGAAGACATGCAATAGCCGGGAATTTTTCTGGCGGAAAAGATACACTTTAATATGTTCCTTACCGAAGCTCTCAAAAACATATGTTTGAAATCTTTAAAATTAAAAGTATTACAGTTTCAACTGTAACACTCCAAACGCAAAAAGCCATTTTATATTATGTGGTCTGCTTCTGGTTAATCACGATAGTTTGTCTCCGTCGTGTGAATTAATTCTTTGGACGTCGCCCCACATGCATAATTTCACAAAAGTGATCGAGTACATATTTTGTGCAAATAGCAAGTTGTCATTTCATTGTAATATCTTACTTGCTGTGCCGAGTTTTCACCCCTTTCATCAAAGCACTGCATAAAATAAACATTTTGTCCAATCAAAGCGCTAATTGATCGCGATGGTAAACGGCAGGTGTCCGCGTTCACCAATCAAAAAGGATTGAAAATGAATTTTAAATACATTGTTTTCGACTAAAGGAGTATATCTATGAATTCCTATGAGTTTTCAGTCGCACTTTAAGACTGGTAGACATGTTTTACGAAAAGAGGTTTATTTTTCTACTCTTTGACGGTGTCCAGACGAAGTGAGGATTTTTTGCTTCAGCGACCTTCGTCAACTTCGTATTCACAGTGTTCTGTTTCAAGTAAGAAAACAATGAGCGAGCTCATATCGACAGCTCCATTGTACACAAGAGATCGGGTCCACCAAACGAAAATAGGGAATATTCTGTGTACTGGGAAAGGCTGTATTGGCTGTGATAGAAAGTTTCAGACTGGTGATCAGGACTTGTCGGAAATTTTAGGCGAGGTCGATTTGGTGGATTTTGACAAACAGGAGCCTCGGTTTTTAGCGACTTCTTCCTGTGCAAGAGGATTTTCACATAACTACGACAAACACAATGACGGTCGGCATGGAAACACAGCATTGATGCGAGCTAAAACAAAGAAGGGAAAACTTCTCAGCAGATCGAAACTTCGAGTGCAAGAGCGAAATATTACCAAGGATAGTGTAAAAGTTAAAGAAAGAGATTTTCAGCCCGCTAAAAATAAAATGAGTAGGCCAGAGTCATTAGCTGTTGATCAAAACACAGATACTAATAGACGTTGTTACGGAAAAACTGTGAAGACTTCGGCTCAGTCAAATCACAAAACAATAGGAAATAAAACTGTATCTTTTTCGGCCCCTCTTGTTAGGCAGGGGACGTTTACTCTTGAAGTTAGTGAAACTGGAAAATCAGGAACGAGTCAAGAACGTAGAAATAACCGAAAACAATCGACTGCTCCTCTGCAAACCAATGGTCATCACTGGAGATCTCGGTCTCACCTCTCGATAGCGGTTGAACCAGACACAAATTTCTTGAAAGTCAGGCAGGGGGCGTCCACTCTTATAAATGGCGAGAAAGGAATATCAGAAAAGAGTCAAGAACACATGAAGAACCGTAAACAATCGACTGCTCCGCTGCAAACCAGTAATCATCACTTGAGATCGCGATCTTACCCTTTAATGCCAGCACCGAAAACCAATTTCTTGAAAATGCTTCATAACAGCAGTGTAGGAATATTTGACATCAAGTCAATGAAAAGCAAAAAGAAGTCTAAGTGGGTGAAAAAAGTTTTGAAATCCGGAGTAAAAGAGGAAGAGATATTTCCTCAAATTGAAGGTAGGAAAACCACGAGAGGCGGCAACAGAAACTTTAAGACAGCTAGAAACAGCCAAGAGGAAAGCACATCAAATTTACCTCAGAGACCTAACGAAAAATACAGAAACAAGGAAAAAGACTTAAAAAATATATCTTCGAAAGACAAAGGGTTTTCAGCTTCGGAAGATGATCGTCAATGTTCGGTTCTTGTGATTGAGCATTCCCACGACGAAATGAACACAAAAGATGAGAGTTTATACAAGCTTGGTTTCACAGCACAACGTAGTGAAAGAAAGAAGAACTTTCCCGACGTTTCAATACTGGAAATTGCCGAAAGTTTGGAAGGTTTTGTTCAGCTGGGAGTTATAAAACTTATCTGTCAAGAACACGAAGGTTGTTGGTATATTATAGTGAGTAGCCGGATTATTCGTGATTTTCTTGTTCAAAATGGCGTAAAGATGCGTGGCAGGAACTTCCAACTGATCGATTGTACGAAAAACTCATATTAATCAGTAAGTCCTGGAAATGCTTAACAATTAGCTTCATGTTGTGATATGAATGTACATTATCTAGCCAACAGGTTACGATAATAATACAGAAAAAAAAATTATCAGCGATTAAATGATTGAGTGGTATCTCGATTTATTGCATCAATTTTTAAATCATAGATGATCTCTGCAATCTGATGGGCTCTCAGCAGTGCGATTTGTTCACGAATCGCTCCTCTCTTTTCGCTCTAAATCGCATCGTTTTCTCAGCTTGAAGAGAGCAACACCAAAGCAAAACTCTCAATCAGCAACCGTACAGCAACCGAGTCTGGCCGTTGAGGGAGCCTGGAGTTAGAGCCACCTTCACGCGCCATTGTTGGAAACCTGGTTGCCGGCTCCTACCCTAGCTGCCTGTAGATTCTAGGGAGATTACAGTAAATGATCCTCTCAGTCTTTCAGTCAGCCTTTCCTGCTTTTTCGAAGAAATATTTAGGAATAAACTTATAAATAGACTGTCGTTTTTGGAACTGTCATTTTGTCAGCAGTTTTTGATTTTTCATCTCAGTGCCTTTCCCAGCTGTTGCATTTGCTAACACGGTGAAATATGTGTAAAAAAGGTATCACGTGCACTTATGTCAAATGTACTCGTTATTACGTGCACTTCATTTTAACCATTTACATCCCAACACTGATCAGAATACATACTCTTCATACCGTTCTCTACACATTTTCTGTGGTGTCGACAAGAAGTATTTGTTTAAAAATCAAGAGCTTGTTTAGTTCGTGATTTTTTCCTTTATTCTCGTTACCTTAATGTTTGATTCTTTGGAGACATTGTATGGAGAATATAGATGCCAGTCACTTCTAGGGGTCAAAGGGTTGTGCAACCATAAGCCTTACTCTCCCATATCGACTATAAATTGGACTTGCATCTTGTGGACGTGGATTCCAAAATGAAGCTTCAGCAATATTCGTTAGTATTGGGAACATTTTTGGAAATTGGAGTAATATTAGCGGAAAGCGTCATGCCTTTGACTTCTAAATCGCTTACGCAGTTCTCGCCCAGCAACCCGGGGCCCATGCTTCACCTGATTCGTGAACTCGACCAAAGCATCCGATGTGGAATATTTCAAAGACCCGGCTGAAAAAATTGGTCATTTGAAACAGTTTTCGGCAGGTCACAAAGCAGCACGAGTCAATACGGTTTGCGATTATGTCCTAATAAATAATACTATTGATTTAAAAAGTTACGCAGGTGTGAAAAAATTCACATAGGAAAGCTGTAGACAATCGAATAATTTAGGCGATCAGGGGGACCTGTTCTTGCCCTCTCTTGGTCAATTTCCATGCAATCAGAAACCGAATCTTTATCAGATAATAGCCGATGTCGGACCTTTATAAAAATATTTGTTCTTTTAGAAGCCTCTTGACAGGCCAGCAATCGCTCTCGGTCTTCAGTCAAATTTTATGAGCCTTCAATACAACCAGCGGTAAATCGCGGTCGTCATGAAAGATGGCCGAACACAGAGGAAACATACGCTGTTGTTTTGTAGTTTGTTTTGTTTTTTTCCTTTCTTTTAGACTTTCTTATGGCGTTTTATATTCGTCAGCCGATCAAATGGTTCTTTTAGAAAACGATACAATCTCCAGTGTAATTCATAATAGCCCATCGGCTTGGGTAGTAGAATTTTATTCCAGTTTTTGCGGACATTGTCATGCGTTTGCTCCTACATGGAAGAAGCTGGCAAAAATGGCAAAAGGTGAGTCCTAACGAATAGAATGTATCTTGCGGTAGAAATTTATTTATGATGTGATATGACTGAGGAAATTGGGAAAGAACTACAAGAGTGGATAACTAAAAATCTATCAATCTGCTCGCGATCGAATGTTCTTTGTTTGGATGTGATCTATTTTTAATGACATGAAATAAGAGGGAATGAGATCTCTATAATAATTGTTTCAGGGCGAACTATTTTCCCAACCCTTCCCTTTTATTTGCTAAGAAGCGAATAATATGTTTTGTCAGGGTCAATCTGTCGAATCTAAGATTGGCGACAAAAGTCAGCTGCCGTCGCAAGTTCATTTTCTTTATCCTGATAAATTATTTATCAGTCACAGAGGAAAGGGAACTTAACACCACACAGTTATGGGGAATTTTTTTAAATCGTCATTCCTTCTTCGGTGCCTGCTGCAGAAATAAGGCTGAAACGAACTTAAAGCTTGAGCTGAAAGAACGAAAACCATTATATTTCTTGTATTGGCCCACGGAATGAAGTTTCGAAGAGGAAGTCTATTTAAATGTAAATTATAAGTAAACAGCTGGTTTTTTGAGAACCTATTCGCGACAAAACCCCATTGGTTTTCATTTTATTTTACTTGCTGATCCTTTTCAGCTCTTTTATATCCTTTATTTTGATTTGCTTTAAAGTCGTGATCTTACTAAAACCAAATGATGGTGTGGATAAACAAGACTTAGACACAAGGGATACATGTGGAAGCTGTTTGCTTGTTTCAATTAAAACATTAAGCTCGGAAAGAAAACCAGCCATTATTATTGAGGCAAATTTATTCAGAATAACAAGTATATTCATTATGTCTAATTTAGACAGGCACAAGGCCTTTCTTTTTGAACAAAAAGCTATTTGTCAAAGAGAAAGCTTCACTGAAGAAATAAGTCTAAGTGCTACACCTTTCTTGTGAAAATAAGGTATCTTTTTGCATGAAATGAAATAATGATTTTCTCATCGCTTTGTTTTGCACTAAAATCTGTTTTAAAACAGAGATAAATTTTACCTGTGCCAGTTTTATTGAACAGCTGAAATGTATGATATATATAGAATTTAATATTGAGTCTAAGCATGATAGCCTATATGCAGATGCCTCCTATTTCTTTGATGAATGATTTTTATTGATTATTTTTAGAAGGAACATTATATCTACTTTAGATTAAATCAGATTTCTGATCAGAACCATCTTAAAGTACAATTTCAAACAAAATCTGTGGAAAAATTTAGCTTTTTGGTCTTTTTGCCTTTAAAATGTGCAGTGTCCATCTTGGCTTCATGCAAAGTTTTGTTTCCTTCCCCTGTCTTCCACAAGCACTTGGTTTTCTTTTAAATGCAAAATTCACTTGTAGAGGAAAAGAAGAAAACAAAATTGACAGGAAGGGAGAATTAACAATCAGATCTTAGGAGTTAAAGGGTCAAGAATTATACATTAAGCAGTAGCCTCTATTTGGTTTGATAGTATGTATCGATAGTTGCAATGAATTGGTGTTTGAAACAATTGACTGTTTGCTGCACATGGGATATTTACTTTTCAGTAATCTCTGGTATGACTTAATGAACCAAAAAACATCCCTTTCTCTGTAACAACAGCTAAATGCTCTTTCATCTTGATTTGAATGTTAAACAATTGCTTTTATTGCAGTTGATGTACGGTTTGAAAATTGGCAAATATCACTTGGGTTATATCCTCAGATATTCCCTAGTTGTAGCTGGGGCATGCTCCATCATGTGATGCAATTATATCAATTACTAGCAAGCAAAAATATCAGATGGATTATGACAGGAATTATAATGAACTATTTTTATAAGTTCATTTATGAAATCATGTCTGTCTTGAAATCAATTTTTTGAATTTTTCATTGTTACACATCTTGCCTTAAATATGAACAATAATTAAAACAAACAAGGAAAAGTTTAAACAGAGGATATTGTGTAGCCGCATTGTGAATCTCCTCTTAATTTTAGAATTTGCCCTTTTTCCATTGAGTTCTCACTGTTACCTACATTCTTTAATTTATAGACTGGAAGCAGCTTATACATGTTGCTGCTATCGATTGTGCTGAAGAACGTAATCTAGCAACATGTGTACATTATCAAATAGAAGGTTATCCTTCTGTAAAGGTGAGTGTGACACACCAGTCATTTGTTGGTGCTCAGTTTAGCATGGCATTATAACAGAGGTCATGAAACACAAGGCAACAGGTCACTGTGGCAGGTCCATACAACGAGTCATACAATCTGTTTATTGTTAACTCTTAACACTTTACATCAGTATGCATATTCTCCACAGTATAATTTATATATTGCCTGTGGTAATGACAAGGAGAATTTTGATAACAATCAAAAGCTTTTTAGCTGGCTATCATTTTTGTTTTTCTCTTTCAGTGGTGATACTATAAGCCAAAACTAAGTAGCTAGCCATTGTTAGAAGTTGGAAGGTTACACAATGTGTCATGACTCGTTATTTTATGATAATACAATTTGTCTTTGGGTCAAAAGTCTGTGCTTTAAGATAATTTTTTTTTTTTTTGTACAAAATTATGCATAGCAATTAAATTGAATTTTTTCTGTGATTTATGACCTGCAATGAGTCACAATGACTGCTAAACTTTGTGTGTCTCCACTGTCAATCTTATCTTAATGTGGAATTAGAGACTCAAGGGGTCAGGTGCTGTGTGATGTAGGATTTGGCTTTAATTCTGAATTTGAAGGTGCTCTGGGAAGCCTGGAAAAAAAGGAGCTTTGCAACAAACTGTCAATTGTATCTGTGCATTTTCTGTGGGCTGTGACACTTCTGGAGATAATACACAAACAGGCTTTTATTACAAAATTATCAAAATTTTCTTATGGACCACATTTAGGGATGTTTTGTATGAAGACAATTTTATGATATTATATGACTAGTGATCTACATTCTTGATACAGAGAATGTAGAGAAGATTTAGGCAAGAAGAGATCAGCAAAATTTTCTTGGTCCAAGACCATGTGAAATCAAACAGCACACCACTTGAGTTTCTCAGATTATATTACACAAAAAAGGGGCTTTCATGTCATCGGAGGTCTTCTTTCTCTACAAATACACATGAAGTATTGCCATTGATCCCTTTCGAGAATGAAGCACCATAAAAACCAACAACACAGTTTAAATCATATGTCATTTCAGATGGAATTTGTTTGCTTGATGAAATATACAGCTGTATAAACTAGTGCATGGAAGCATTTTTCTCATGAAATAATGCTATTGATTTACTTATAAAGTGTCTTGACATTATTATTTATGCTGAGTCTTAATTATTAACAGAAAAGATTTACTGTGTACATCCAGGCGCTTTTGTTTCAACACACTATATTTACCCTTCTGCTGATGTTTTCTCTCCAACAGTTTTTTAATGCATCTGCTCCAAGCTCTAATCTAGGCAAAACATTTACAGGTATGATGTTAGGATATGATGTAGATAACTTTCTTGTCACATACAGTTAGGATATTAAATATTCCCATGAAGCATTAACTGTGATTTTTTTTATTTTTGGATGTTATTATTTAATGATTGATTCTTATTATTTTCACTATTTTGGTGATTTGTAAATAATCTCAAAATGATTAACAGTAATTAAAAGATGGCATGCTTAAAATTTTTTGCACTCTTGAGTTAGTGCTAAGTCAATTAATAGATTATGTGTAGAATTTAACCTTTCAATTTTTCTAAGATCATGCCTAACAAGATAAAAAGATATTTTTAATATCAGTTTTGTTACAAGAAAGTAGGAATATGTTTGAGAAAGACTTCACTGAAAAAAAAACCAAAGTTGACAACCGATCAGATCTGCCTTCACTTGAATGTCAGTTACATGTATGGCATGATTTCTAAACTGTCCTATTATGCTTTTGTACACAACCATATATGTATACTGTCCTACAAATGCTCAGATAAAAGTGGCTAATGACCGATCACAATTGGGGATTTTGTCATAATTATCTTTTATTGCTCAGTTTGTGTGAAATTTTGGTTAATAGTTGGAATTGAAATTTATTAATTTTCTTTATTTCAATTAGGAGAAAGAACACTTCTAGGTATTATCCATGAAATGGTCAAGGTTGCTGAGCTACAAAAAACGCTTGGGTTAATTCGTACAGATTTGGATTTTGTACCCATAAGGTAAGCTAATTGAGAAATAAAGAATGATGTATGGGTGGGTGTTGATATCTTCAAGTGTTCAACTTCATATCTCCATAATTCTCTATGCTAACTCAAGAGATATCAAGTTGAACACAGGAAGAGAAATGCCATATCTACAAGCAACCACTTGTTATCTTGTTTGGTAAAATAAACACTATAAGTCTTTACTGACAAGAAAAGTCGACTGGTGAACACTTTGTTATTCATTCATCTGCCTAATAGAATGGTGAGAAAGGCAAGTTACCTGTCAGTAGGTGAGTTACCTGTCAGTAGATGATGGGAATATCAAACCCATTTCACAAAAATATATTGAATTTTGCATTAATTAAGGCTTTTCTCGGGGCTGTAAACACCGCAGTTAATATAATAAAGAGATATGATTTTGATGTAAAAAATTGCCACCCTTCCACACATTTGCTATTTCTTTTAATTTATTAATGTTTATAAAGTTTTGTTGGCATTGAATTCAGTTTCTTTATTACCTAAATTTAAATTTTTCCTGCAGGAAAGAATTTGTATCCAGTTTTGTGGAGGGTAAAACATCGTATGATGAGTTGGCATTAATTTTTGAGGTACCAACTTCATACATTGGTCGTGAGGTGAGTTCTTTCTAAAGCAGGCCCCAATGATTAGATATTTTTAGTAGCCTGTCGTTAAGTTTTGACTGCACAAAATTAAATCCTATATCTTTTGTAGCTGAAAATGATTTTAATTAAACTACTGTGATTTGTATACTCTTTGTAAATCAATTATGGTGCTTAACAATAAAAAATCAAATTAGTAGTTGAAAGTCATTGTAAATTGCATTGTATGCTTTCACTATTGAGCTGAATATAACCATGATTATATATTTTTTCAGGTCATGTTAGACATGATGAAATGCCCAGGGTTGGGTGTCAGAAGAGTCCTGAGTCGAAATGTGAGTGTCTTGTCTATATCTTAATCTTGGCAAACACAATCGTTGCACCATTGCAATAAGTTGCATCCTCTACAGATATTATGTTGACATTTTATCTCATGGTATAACATCAGTCAGAAATTTACTTAATTACTCCTTCATTCCCTCCCTCCATTCTCTGTTCTGTCAGACAATTAATTTTATTCATTAAAACTTGGATTAAATGGGTTATTCCCTGCTTCCCTTTTTAGATTTTCCTCTTTTCCCTATATCATGCATTTGATTTCTGTTAAAATAACTGAGGTGGTACAAAGGCCGAAATAGTTGCCTGAGTACATGGATTTATCAACATAATTCAAATTGGCATCTGCTGTCAGGCTTATAGGCTGAAATGATCTGGTGGGTTTTTTCCTTTTTTTTTTTTCACTCCATCCTTGATCAAAATACACCTGTGTAGACCTTACAAATGAACAGCAAATGTGACCTTACAAATGAACAGGAAATGTGTGCAGGATACTCAACTGGGAAAAAAGGGCTTCAAAGTCTTAATATCGACAATGACAACAGTCCCAATGTTCAATATGGAAATATATTGTTGGACTGTTCCTTAAAATCATCAAGGTGGTTTTTCCTTCTTTTGCTCCATTCTTGATAAAAATACTCCTTTTAGACCTCACAAACAAAGAGCAAACATACAGAAGAATGCTCCACTGGAAAAGGGCTTCAAAGTCTTGAAATCAAAGATGAAAACGGTTCGAAAATAGATATGAGCAATTTTAATTCTTGTCTTCAATTTGATTTTTGCATGAATATTTGGCAGCCATATGGTTAAACGTGACACGTATTTGTCAGCTTATTCACCATATTTTGAAGTTTTTTACAGATTTTATTTGATTTGACTCTTTTTTTTTGTCAGACAATCACCTTGTGAGCTTATTTTGCTTCTAGGGCATGAATCTTACTGGTCAGAATTTTAATACATGTTTGAAACATATTCCTTGCTCTGGTACAGCTTGAATTGGCCATCATTTTCCTATATCATTGTCACTTTTTGTCCTTCTTTTTTTTCTATTTAACTCACTTTTAAATATTTGTCGTCTTGAGACCTCATTTGGTGTCTGTTGTCATTACACATTTGGTTCCATTCCCTCGCTCAGCACAATTTGGCATCTAGCTAGATATCTTCACAGCAAAAACTCCAAGTAGCTAAGATTCACTAATCAAATGATGTCTCATCAATGTAGAGGGACTCATTAATTCTGTAACTCCTATAATTGACTAGCATCAAATTTCTCTTTACAATATCACCCCTCAATCAAACATTAAGGTCACAAGAATGAAGTACATGATCACCTACAAAAGAAGCTCTTGATTGTTAAACAAATACAGTATGGATAACTTAGCTGTTATTTGGGCATAGGAGGTTAACACTCTATCTAGGTCACAACATGTACCAGTAAGTAAAGAAACAATCAGAGAAAGCATTTTTTAAAGGCTCCTCAGTCTCTTATAATGCCCTAGGCTACTCAGCTCTGGGTGAAATAACTGGTCACCCCCTTGCAATCAAGTAACTTGATGGTCTTCCAATTCCAAATTTTTAGAAAATACTGATCAATCATTTTACTCTTCTACACAGAAATTTTTGGTAGAGAAATATGCAATAAAGAAATTCCCTTCTCTTATTGTGGTCCATCGAAGAGGCACATTTAAAGAACTTTCACAGTAAGTGAAAACTTTTTTGATACAATTTGTAACTGCATAGGATTAGAAAAAACCAGAGACCTTTTTGCTACAATTATTTTTTCTCATTTGTGCAGTGATGAAAAGACACATGCTAGCTACAAAAAATCCCTTGAAGAACTTTGTTTAGGAGTGAAGCCTTCTGTGGAGCTCCCAGAAATCACTGAAGCTATGACTCTGTACAAGAGATTGCATGGAAAAGCAGAGAAAAGAAAGCAAGAAGCTGGAAGCAGGTGGGAACATTGTGGTAATACCTTTCTTATCAAATGACTATGTGAATAAAGAAATTGACTGTTTACTGATTTTCTCTCAAATCAGTTGAGCCAATCAGTTAGTTCTCAATTGTTTGTTCAGTTAAGTTAATCTGTGTAACCTAGTCTGTGCATAAATCAGTTAGTCAGTTAGTTATTCATTCCATCAGCCAGCCAGTCAGTCAGGTGTACCTAGTCAACTAGTGAGTCAGTCAGTCAGTTGCTCAGTCTGTAAGTCAGTCAGTCAGTTGCTTAGTCTGTCTGTCAGTCAGTCAATCATTTCATCAGCCAGCTGACTAGCAAGCCAATCAGTCACTCAGTCAGTTGCTCAGTCTGTCAGTCAGTTAGTCGGTTGCTCAGTCTGTCAGTCAGTCATTTTGTCAGCCAGCTGACCAGCAAGCCAGTAAGTCACTCAGCCAGCCAGTTAGTCAGTTGCTCAGTCTGTATATCAGTCAGTCAGTCATTTTGTCCGCCAGCCGACCAGCCAGCCAGTTAGTCAGTCAGTTAGCCTACCAGTCATTCTACCCACAAGCCAGTCAGTTCAGTGTGTCAGTTTCATTTGGTTGGTCCGTTAATCTCCATTTGAATCATATAATATGTACTTGTTGTTCCCCAAATAACTGATTTGGTAAGATTTACGTTATGAAGGCATTTTTTCCCTCTTTTTGAAACAGTTCCGAGGTATATATGCAAGACTTAGAAAGTGGTTTATCTTTTATGCTGAACGTTGAAGTGGCTACCAAGCCGATCATCCAGGGAGATGAGTACTTGGCGCTGAGGAACTTTATAGGAATGCTGGCAAAGGTAACCTAGAGATTTCATCCGTTTTCAGAAGTACGCTACATGTGTGTGATACATTGTGTATCCCTATCTTATGACAAAATCACTTCTGTTGAATGGTTAATTTAGTCTCTTTTTTATTCAGTTAATGATAACGTCAATGACTGTGATGATAATGATGACGACATTTGTTAACAATGCATGCTTAAACTTTGTTAGTCTCCAATATTTAGAGTAGATAATTAGAGTACATAAGTAGAGTGCACGTCAGTCAGAGATAATGACTAACTCCATTAAAAAAAATGTATATTTTCAGTGTTTTCCTGGAAGACCATCCTTGGGCCAGGTGTTAAACAACTTACACGCCAAGTTGCCTCTCACGCGGACAAACATTTTCAGGTCGGAATATTTGTACAATGTGCAGCGATCTCAGGTAAGTTTTTACAGGTGAACTTTTTCCTTCAGCTCATTCCCAAAAACATAAAAGCAAGGCCTGATTTACTTGGGTCGTTTCTGCCGCTAAGGTGGGATTTCAGCTTCGTGTGATTACAAAAAAAAGCCGTGTTTTTTTCCTGGTGAAGTTCGCATCGATGAATGACTTGTCGTGTGTGACTGAAGCGGTAAACTAATGGATCGGCTGTGCCAGAGGTGATAGCCGATTGATTCTTGCGCTGGACTGCCGATCGAGAGGTTTGGGTTCGAGCTCTAGCCGTGTGGGTAAAACATCTCACTCTCACAGGACTTATCCCCTCTCAGGAATATTCGTGGGTCGCTGCGAACTTCCAGGGAAACTTTGACTAATCTCTGGGAGGTTATCGGCTTTTGACTAGCGTCTTGTCCTGGCTGGGTAGCAATCGTTCCAGTCGTTTCTTATCGACAGTAATTGGCCAGTAAACCCATAGAATTGGAGAACACCCCAGTCTACCCCGGTATTGGTGGGCTAACAAACTCTTCCACACTACCTCTGAGTTTGCCTGTCTCTGATCTCAGGTTAGTGTTCTAACCACGGTGGACACTAAGCCAGGGTTAAGTTTTCATTGTAGTTAGCAATACAGCCCAGGGAGCGCTCGCTTCAAAGGTGGTCAGCCCGAATAAAGCATTTAAAGTTAGTATTGATTTCAATTTTGTGAAAGCATATACAAGGGTAGACATTTTGCGGGTTTTATTCAAGTAAAAAAATTGATGTTAAAAGAATGGCCCAGGACATTTTTTGGTGAACTCGATCAGTGTGGACACCAACAACTGCAAGACTACTGTGAATGAGGTAGCCTGTTGTGACTAGCACCCCATCAAGGGAAAGAAGTGTTACTCCTAGTGGCTGTATAGCATGAATTACGTGGGGGAAAGTTTAGGTAAGCGAGTTGCAAGTCACTGACGTTAATCATGTGACAGTGGCTGATTGTACAGTGTCTCTACAATTTATTTTCAGGCGAACGTGAAACTGGACGGTGGCTCAAACGCCCATCCTCTACCCAAAAAGGTTAAGTGGGCGGCTTGTTCTGGTAGCAAGCCAGAGTACCGAGGCTACCCGTGTAGTTTATGGACTTTATTCCACACGCTCACCGTGAACTGCGGCTCGAGCCACCAGCTAACAGGTCTGGATGTTCTCTCTCGTATCAGAGAATTCATCCGCTACTTCTTTAGCTGCGAAGAATGTAGGAAACACTTCACGGCGATGTCTTCAAATCTTAGTAACGAAGTCCATTCGCACAACGAGGCAATCCTATGGCTGTGGCGGGGTCACAACAAGGTGAATGATCGACTGGCTGGCGACCAAAGTGAGGATCCGAAGCACCCCAAGATCCAATTTCCGTCTAAGGACCTTTGTGAGGAGTGTCGGGTTCCTGGCTCTGATGATCACAACGTTCAGTGGAATGAGGCGGTCGTCTTGGAATTTTTGAAGAATCATTATGGAGTAGACAATATCAGGATTAAGAAACCGCCAGCGCGATCAGCCCCAGAGTTAGAGGACACTGATATTGTAAGCAAACATTCCAAGCGTCATTCTGTTTCTCATCTTAGTATAATCGGTCTGAGTTCCATTGACGCCAGCATGTGTCTGATTTTATATTCAGCCATAGCTTTTGCAGTTATCGCCTTGTACATCTATTTCATACGAAGGCGCCGGAGAATCGTAAGGCTTCACGTTCACACACCTTAATCTTAACAGAAAAATTCTCATGTGATGCGTCGTGTCAGGGCACTTGTTGATTCGAGAGAGTTAAGTTCACTTGAACACAAATTGTTTAAAAAGTCAATGTTCTGGTCGTTTCATGCTTCGCCCTTGATCAATGGAAATTCTTTCGGTTTTCTTTTAAATCATAGCAAGTTACAGGGTCAGAAGCTTTCATTGCCGGCTAAAACTTGTTTAAAATTCTCTCAGTCTATTTTACTATTAATATTTATTTATTTATATGAAAGCCGCTAAAGGGCACACTATTCCCAAGACTAAATTAATTTGAGTTATTTTTGATTTTACTAGATAAAGTAATCGCAAATCGGAAGTGAAAATTTAACACGATGTATTTTTGCAATTAAATTTAAAATTTAAAGCAAAGAAATTAAAAAAAACATACAAACAAACGTATTTCCATCACAAGATTCCGTTTTTCTGTTGAAAGATGTATGAAAACTAACTTGGTTTAAAATCGGAGCGGAAAAAAAACTTTGATCTCCTCATAAATTTTCATCGAGTAAGATTTGAATGTTGAGTTTAAAAAAGAAAAGAAGTTCCCATAAGGTCTAGCGCGAAGTATTGTAGAGTTTTATTAGCACTACTGACCTTTCCTTTGTAGCTCCTCGAGCAAGGAAGCATTTTAGAGTTATATTATTAGTTGGAGAAAGTGGAACGTCTTAAAGTTTACATGATATTGAATTGTTATAAAATTTCCAATGTACATAATGATATATTAATGGATAGAGTTTTAGATTGAATTCAATTTTATTCTACGTTATCGTCTTAAATTTTAAATCTTACAAGGCAAAAAGATAATCGCGTTTTAAAGCGCTATTCTCTGTGATTTTACCAACACTGAAATCAGTCAATCAGCCTAGACAGGCAGCTAGAACTGCTGATTTTATTTGATCATGTTCACACGTGAATTAAGACACCTCTAAGAGTAAATTGTTGCAACGAATTAAAGAATATGACACTGGATTGATGACTTTCTTCCTGTTGGTGTTGGATACTGTAAATTAGCGAGATCTAGCTTGAGCATGGGCTCTTACGAAAGGAATTTTATGCTTGTGCTGAAAACAGCAGGTAGAGGACACTTTATTGTGGACATTGCAACAGACGGTTACTGACATGTAATCTATTCACTTTACAGGAGTTTGCTGATTACTTTGCACGACAATTACAAACGAAAAAATACCAGACGGAGGACAGTGAACACAAGACACACTCAGATACCAACCATACTGAAACACACTTAGATCCATTTGCGGAAATTATCTGAAATCCTACGCACATCGCACGGTAATAAGTCTGTGAACTTGCTGCTGCATGCTGCAAGGCGACTGGAATCAAACAAACCCATAATGCATTGTGGATAATTAGCGCCGGCGCTACTCATGAGGGCAAAGCGGTTTAATCCACGAACCTTGGGGTTTTGAATTTTGTTGTAGAATATTTTTATAATTCATCGCTTAACAGCAAAATTGAACATCTTGATCATGATATGATCTTGATCATGATATGTGCACATGGGTGCAATGTTTTTTATTCTCATACAATAACCAAAGTTTGAACGAGTCAGAAATGATAAAGGTTCCCATCCATCAAAATCTAGATAAATTTGAAAATGAACAAAAAGATCGAAAGAGCACTGGGTCAAAGAAGTGTGGACTCCCCACTGCCATACCTATTCAAATGTCTCTACCAAGGTTTACAAATCTGTCTCAGAAAGAAGGCCTGTTCTAGGGGATGATTAGGAACTTTTAAGAGATTAAAAATATCCATATTCTCTTGTAAATTTGAAAAACCAGGTCAAAACTGCACATCAATTAAAGTTAAACGAGAGAGTACGTTCCACCTTTCCCCGTCCTTCTCCATTCCGGAGACGATCTAGCTGAAGGAATGGCGTCTCTGTTTTAGGGTCTTGGAAAAGTTACCTCTTAAAATTTTGAGCGGTTTGTTGTATAAAATCATTCAGCATTCTCTCCATCCTTAGCGGTCTGTTTTTGTGTTTGGTTACTGTGTTCCTCTTTTGTATTTTTAATCTTTCCAGACAAATATGTCGCAGCCTTTTTAAAACTGTCTTTAAAGGTAGTTTGGCAGGCCTTCAAATTAATTCACGATCTCGGAACGTAGATCCTTTAAAGTTCGTTTGCTATAATCGGAGACAAAAGTGTTGGTAAAAAAATGTTCATTTCAGATTTATCCGTTTAAATGTGGACAGGGCCAACAAATAGACGAAGATTTTTCTACACGTAAGCCATCGCTAAATTAAAACCAAAATTATTCATTCGATCACACTCTGTAACTTTTACATTTCCCTTGTCCATTTTTACGCACATCCTCTTTCGCTTGTGTTTTCAATTTCCTTGTTTCACTTTTTCTCATTGTAAATCTATCAATGTTTCTAAAATGCATTGCAAAGTTTAGATTTTGGCTTAAACTTGAAGGATCGTGGGAGGATGTTTTACCTTTTAAATTAGTAAGTATGCTGACATTGACGTACAACCAAACTAGTGGTAGTTATTTGCAAAAACTTTTCATCTTTGACACCCAGTGGGTAACTGTACTGGGCTCTGTAGCACAGAAAGCTACGTTAGACAAAATATAGAACACAAATTTATGACATTGGTTTCTTTTTTATTTCTGTCTTTCTGTCGTGTATTTAGTAGATGGCATTTATTAAGGGGCGTCGCACAATGGGTATCTGCCTAACCGTAGCCTTGTGCGGTTTCTCACTGGCGCGGGACACAAGGGTGGAGCGATATGAGCCCGAAGATGTCTGTAAGGGCTCTAATTTTTGGTCCCTCTCGCATAATCGCCTTGCGCGTCGGATCGTATCGAGCAAGCGTTCGCCCACATGCGGGGGCAATAATGACAGCCTTCTCCCAGGCTAACCTGACAGTCATGTTGACTTTCACGCTGTGTTTTATTGAAAAATATATTTTGTTGGTTAAGCACAAAGAAACACATGCCGTGTTGATTCTTCAGATCCGTACTTTCCCCTCACTTGAATTAGGAGGTTTTACATACTCTTCAATGATTCAAGAATCCTGTTGCCCCGCTTAGGTTGCAGTCGACCTCTTTGCTCGACAACCTTGGCCGATTTACAGTACAGACTAACGAAGCTAAAGCGAAATATACACTTTGGGGGGGTTGAGTTTTTGAAGAAACTACAGTGCTGCGTCGGAGGGGTGGGCAGGGGTATTTCAAGATAGTTGGTCTTTCAACTGAGTAGATAATGTAAACTGGCCACCTTGGCGTTAGCCCTTCGTTAGAGCGATGAACTAAAGGTGATAATATATACAGTTTGATGACTAAAACAAAATATGTTTATCTTCAATAAGCGAAGAACTATCGGTTATTAGTCAGAAATGTTCACAGTGATTCAGTAACGTAGATACGAATATAAAATACGGTGTGAAAAAAATGAAGATTTCCAACGGTGGATTGACGTCTAAAACAGCTTTTTAAGTAACCGAGGAATCACTGTTCGAGGCGTCCCTGTCTCTTTAACTGCCTCAAACGTTGTGCCGGCTGAAAATCAGAAGAAAAAAACTCGCACCAAATGTCACATAAGTAAATAGGGATTCAAAAGGGAAATTGTAACACTTTGGAAACTCAAAATACCATCGTAGCCAGTCGTATGCTCAGCCTAAAAAACGTCGTTATGCTTGAGCAAAATACAGTGACACCTGAGGTAAGTGGACCTCCCCCCCCCACCATATCAAGCACACTCTGTCCTTTGCAAACACCAAACCAAGTCCTAAGTTTCCCTCTACAAATTTTCATTTTTGCTTGAGCACAATACAGTGATATCTGTGGTTAGCAGCCTCCCCCCCTTCCCAGCCACCATATCAAGCAGACCCTGTATTTAGCAAACACCAGCCCATCCTAGGATTTCTTCAATAGAGAGGATTCTTTTTCTACCCCCATGGGTGTCCCCATAGTTGGAGGTTTCAATGTAGTTGAAAGATGAGAGCTTCTTCAACTTACCAAACGATTTCACTTGCTCGCTTATGAAGCTGCCACTGACTGCTTCATACTCCTTACTGGTATTTATAGATGTGGCGATTGCATCTGCCTGCAAACAAGAAAAAGGAATATCTGTAATCAAGCAGTTACAACAACAAAGTAGATACTGGACTTAGGGACCAAAGGCTATTGGCTACTGTATCATATGATTGCATGGGCAGAGTTAAAGGGTCATGCCCCCACCCCTTAAAGACACACACACCTTCTCAGGAGTCAAGGTTTTTCACAAATGTTTTGGCTACTTCAGCATTCCTTTTTAAATTCCTCTGGATCCACTCTTGGATCATATATTTATAGGCAAAGGCAAGGGGAAATTCTCAAACTGAAGAACATTCAAATTAATTTGAATCAAAACCAAAGTAATCCCAAATGTTGATCAAAACAAAAGTAAATAAATAAGAAAGGCCATTGAAAACTCAGAGCAAATATTTATATCTCATTCAAGGGACAAAGTGTGTAACCAAGCAGGGATTGATTTCAATTTTACACTGTGCAAGTTTGTTAGACCCATCACAAAATGTAATGAATCGAATCCACAGCAATCTTGACACTCAGTTCAAATCTGGTACTCTCCATGATTTTTGATGTAAAAAAAATTAATTAATGTTATTGTTTCTAAAGAAATTTATTTACCTGTAATATCATTTTGAGTTTTGTTTCATGAAGTCTGTCCATTACCCCTTTCAATGATGGCTTTCCAGAGAGCAGCTGGTGCTGTTCAGGGGACAGGAAGTCTGGACACTGATCTGTGGATTTCACATCATCTTCTTGGTTTTCTCTGTCAAATAAAAACGTTTTTATCAATGATATCAGGAATCATATAAAGTACTTGTGCATTCCAACTGTCATGTGCTGGTTAGTGACAATGATCATTAGCATGCAAGAATAACAAGATGGCTGTCAGGTTCAAGTTTTAAAGATTATCCAAGATGGGATGGATTGAAAACAAAAAAAACAAAAAACAAGAAACCAGTACATGGCTATTTTATGTGCTTGTGGATCCTAAGGTTGTGCTGGTTTATCACTATAACCTTAATCTATCACTGCTTTTTGCAATTTATTCCAGTTTCTATGAAATAAGTGACTATGTGTATTACCTCTACACCTGGTCAGAATGCTACAGAGTTCACCATGACTAATCCTCCAACAAACCTTTCAAGTTTCAGTTTTTTGATAATGTTCTGTACTTGGTTGAAAGAAAGGGACACTGGTTCTTAGTGTGTTGTCTACGAACACAACTTGATGACCCACCCATGACTCAAACCCACCCTCCTTAATCTGAAATTTACCCCATGGACCACTACACTGCATGTCTTTCTGTGCTAGGAATTGTACTAATTGTCATGAGAGAGAATATGGTAATATTGCCTCAGAATGACTGGGCTGAGGAATTAATGAATGAGTGAATGAATAAATGAATGAAAAAATGATAGGATTAAATGATAGAATGAAAGAATATTTGTTAAAAATAGTGTTTTTACTTTTTGTACCTATCTTTTTTTTCCATATTGCTTTTATGGGAGGACAGTAATTCATCCCACTTCTTGTTCTCTGCCTTCAGCCTGAAAAATGATAAGATATGTGCTTATTCACCTTTTGAAGGGGATTTTCCTTAACCCTTTCACTTGCACAAGTGACCAAGACAGAATTTCTCCTTACAATATCAATACAATGTCAAGTAGGCAGGTGATGAGAATAGAGAAGAATATCAATCATGGGATTCTTAGTTGATTCAATACCAAATTCTCTGAACTAACATCATAAGAATTGTATGGCAGATAGTCAGGAGAATTACTAATCAGATCTTGAGAGTGAAAGGGTTAATGTCTTTGATTGGAAAAAATGAGTCATCAGTTAGTTCTCCAAAAGAAAAGAATTCTGCCACAAGAATTTGCTATCTTCAGTCCAACCAGAGCTCTTATGTACTTTTTACAGTTACTCTATACTTTGGAGTGACTCAAAATATTCATCTTTGAATCATCTAGTGCTATTTCTCTGAATAACTCAATATTTAAAAGGATTTGAAAAGACTAAGTATGTTTTCTTCATTTATTTCTGGTGCTTGAACAGCACCTTGAGTCTAAGATGGCCTGCAGTCTCTTGCTCGAATTCCCCTGCAGTTAGAGTTAACTAGATAGCTTTGGTTAGGTTGGGACTATTTGACAGTTATGGTAGTGAAAAAAAAAATGCAAAAAATTGCTCCCAGCAGATATTTTTTTGGTCAACTTGAGCAGCAAAAGTTTAAAAAGTACAAAAAATTCCAGTCAAAAAAATATCACTGCTGCACTAGATGCCACAATAGTAAATTTTACTGCTACCTTAAAAGTGAGGAATGCAAGAACATTACTACATTAAGTGTTTTAAACACATATATTATGATACTGTTGTACCTTTCAGTAACAGCCAGCCTTGATGCCGCTTTGGCCTCTAGTTCTTCATTTTTAGGGTTGGGTATCTGCCTGTGGGAAAGAAAAAAATCATTAGGTAATTAGGAAACAGAGATCAGTCACCATTTGGCCACGGAAAATCAGAAAATGGTTGATAAAAGTTTTAATTGACAGTAGCTTGCAATCATTTTTAAAGACTTGCATGTATGAGACATTTCTAGTTTCAACACTTGCTCAAGTGAGGAGAAAGAAGCAATGATGGAGCACTTAAATAATTTCATGCAAATGTTGATCAAGAAAATTAATGAATAAAAACAATGCAGCCAGTGCCTTGTCTGTCAAACACAGATCGCCAATTTGGCAACTTTTGCTGAATGTCATGGCCTTTTTTCCCACTATGGCTTCCTAAATGGTCGCAGCTTGGATTACTGTTGAGTATAATGGTTAACACATAAAAATAACTCTTATGGCTAATTTAATATTGTAAAGCTAATTCAATTAAAGCAGCAATAATAAATTTTGTTTCTTGACACTTCACTCATTTTCTACTTACTTCATTTTGCTGGTAGCAGATTTAAAAGCTTCATTCACAATATTGCTGTCTGATATCACTGTTTGCAAATGGCTGAACACTTCTTTTGCTAGGAAAATGAACAAAGAGCAACAGTTCAAACTTGTTTTATAAAGTCTCGTACACTACGTGCCTTTGCTATGGGGAGAATAATTCACTTGTAGCTTAATGCCACATTATTTTAAATAATTTCAGCAGCATTGAAATAGTCTCAAACATGTGTAGTCTCCATGAAATTTAAGAAATCATTTACTTGGTTTGACAAACACCATTAGAGGTTAGAATAAACTCCCATGAAAAGATGATGGTCAAGGAAGGTAAAGGTGAAGGCGGATAGCAAAATGATGAACTTCAGTTGAAAATTTCAAACCCAATAATTTTAATAGAGTTACCTGTGATATAGCCCTTTAAACCCAAGATTTTTTTTATACTGTACCACTAAAAGCCAGTGGAGAGTGGAGAGTGAAGGAGATGAGCACCACCACCGCAATGCTTAATTCTTTCATTAAATAACCCAATTTATTCACTAAATTCTATACCTTCTGCATTAAAGTTTGGTATACTGTCAACTTCATATTGCAATGGATTGTTCTCCAGTTTCTCCAATGCTCCCTGAAAACATGACATAAAGATAAGCTTGGGCTGAACTTTTTTGAGTCTTGATGGACAAATGAGCATTGCTTTCTTTTGTTTACAAAATATCATTGGGAAAGCCATCTGTCTTCCCTTTCAGAATTAGTTTCTATTAACTGTGATTTGAAGGGGAGAATGGAAAAGCCCACTGTGACCTATGACAAATTGATAGATTTTATTTCCAAATTGCCATGTATTTTCATGCGAAACACAGGAAGAATTTACATTAAGAGTAACTAGAGGCTTCATATCAAGCATCCATTCCATAATGGTTGCTATATGTACTTGCTGGTAAGAATATCATTTCAAATAGCTTGCAAACAAACTTGGTCATAATGAAACTCATATTTTGAATAAGTGCAACTTTTAGGGCACAATTATATTTCATGAAATAGAATTCATAAGGTGATCAATTAGTGTTTATATGGGTCAGTGAAAAGTTCTGTTTCTGTCATCCACAGTAGAATATACAATTCTGTAAGTTCTATTATGAGAAAGGTTTCTAGACAGGTCAACTTTTTGCTAATCAGCAAATCAGTCATGATTTGGAAACAAAGAGGCCTACTCTAAAATCTAAAAACACCTCTTCATTTCTGGTTCAGTGGGAAATTTACAAGCTGTTCCTGAAGAGACTGTCCAAAATATCAGGTCTTCAATACAGCCTACATTTATCCCCCTCTGATAAGAGTCTAAATAGGATCAGTTGGTAACATTTTAGCATATTTGACAGTTGAAAAGTTTACCTTAAGACAGGCTTCAAATAACTTTTTTAGTCTTTCCTCAGGTGTCAAATCAGTAGGAATCTCTTTATAAAGCTCTGCAGCACAACATGATGCAAAAAAGTTTGTTGGAAATCTAAAGAGAGCAGTGCCCTTTAAGTGCTGGTACTTGTCTCTCTTTTTATAGCATTAAGCTCCTTGAAGTACATTATTAATTTTATGGGATGGTGTAGTGTATTGAGAACATAGTAAAAGTACTTGTACCAATGCTAGTATTATCACTGTGGGACTACTGAATGATGTAAAAGTATTTTGATTAAGTAACAAGATTGTACCAGCTTATTAGATACTTGATCAATGAATATTAATGATAGAATATAAATGAATACGCAACAGATGGTATGCTGTTCCCATTAAAAAACAATCCTCAAGCATTTGGTCAAGTTTTCCGATAGATTGGTGATACCCATTTACTCTTTTAAGTGGTGAGAAAGGCACTGTCAAGGCTTAGAGTCTTGCCTAAGATCACAACAGATTATTGGTATCATTTATCAAGCCTAAGTGTATCCTTCCTCATTTGTAGTCCAGCATGCTCAAAGAATTTACCATTGCTAAGAAAAAAATTTGATAAGAAATCATTCATAGCCAAGATTTCACCTTGACAGAGGCATCTCCACCTCCTTTGCTTGGACGCATGAGGCACAAGTAACAGGAAATAAGAGATACCTTTATGCAGGCTATTACAGTATTACTTGATTTATTCAAAATACTAGTAATTAGACAAACAATTATATATCACAAACCAGACTTTGCAGATGAAAACACAAGAGACTTGCGTTCCTTCCTCCCTCTAACAAAGCTTGATCTTCTTTTCTTCTGTTCACTTTTCTTTGCTGTTCCTTTTTTCTGGGGAGCCTTAAAAAGAAAAAGATCACTGTACCTCTTTAAACCAAATGGCTCATAACTACCAGAGCTTTTACCAGTCTGTGTATAACTTCATAACAGGGAGTATCTCCTTCCAAATTATGGAATGTTGGGGAATTACAAGTCATTCCCAACCTTTTCAGTCAGGTTTCCTTCACAATTGGTGATTCCCAATCATCTTCCTAGATCAAGAGAGGCACTGCAATATTTAAGAGTCTTTGTCCAGAAACAAACCACAATGACCTTGCTATGGTTAGGTTCCAAGTGATCTGAACAAAATGATATATAAATTTCCTTGATTCAGATAAAATCTTAAAAAATAAAGAGCTAACAGCATTCTACCTTTCGGTAGCGACTCTGGCGCGAGAACTTGAATCCACTTGCTTGTAAGCCTACATCCTTTAAAATAAAGTAACAATTTTTCTTATTGCAGTTGATCGTCGAGAGAAAAATCTTACCAGCCATTAAAATAAATTCAACGAAACTATTTTGAAAACACATGTATCTTGAGAAAGATGTTAATGTTAATTCTGTGATTGCTAGTTAAATGTAGAAAGATGTTCAATATTTGTCAAGAGCAATGGAGAAAGAGAGAAATTGGAGCAATGTTAGAATACCCGGCCACTCATTTACATGTCATTGAATAAGAATAGCATCTATTGTGTCATGCCTTGATCTTCAAAGCCTCCCGACACATGTAAGTGAGGTGGACTAAAGTGACCGGGTATTCTGAAGTTTAGCCAAGAAATCTGAGTCCTCTATGTCTTCCAACTGGTTTACAGCAAGGCAGGTTACAGCTGAAGGTAGCTTGAGAAGAAACATGTGGCCCAAAACAGACAGAGATAGTGGGAGGTTTCCATGAATCTATGCTCTCCTTGAAATAAAAAGGAATCTGTCTAGTCACAGCCTGGCTACAGATGTGAAATGAGAAACTATCCACTAAAAATTCAACATAGTTATTCAAGGTACAAGTGATTAATATCATTTAAATGCACAATAGGTAAATTCCCCTACCTCTGGTATTTCTTCTGTGCGTTTGGTTCTTTTCCTAAAGCCAAAGAAACCATAGTTGAGCAAGTGTTTAATGGGGTATTATTGTTTGCTGCTTTTTATCATCATTCATCTTAGGCTAATAACAAAATATTCAAGCTAAAAAAAAGTATCGACATCCTTGGTTGAAATTTCTCTTAACCCTTTAACTCCCAGAAGCGATCACTGAGTAACTTCTACACAGTCTGCAAGCGGTGCTGACCTAAGACATCTACATAATATCATACTCTCTGATCTTCGAAACATACTTGTGACACTACCATATCAAATATTCATTTCGAACGTCAAACTAGAGGCGTATGAAGGGACCCTAGTAAGTAGTAGGTCCATTTGTGAGCTTTTTACAGTCACCAATCTCATATACAGCTAAAACAAACCAAAGAAATATGGAAACTCACCTCGTAGATGATGACCTCACAGTCGCCATCTTGAATTTAGCGCCTTGGCGCGAATTGCATTTTGCGCATGTTCTTATGAAATTTTCCCTTGGAGCTTGTAAGGGAGGGGACTGGGAGCCAGCTTAGTTTCCGGGTCGCATGACATCGAGAAAGTGTTTGGACGGACGTACAGCAAAGCGTTTTGGTTTCTCATTTCCGTCTATAGGGTAGCCTTGAGCTGACAACTGATCGAATCCAATGGCTTGGTTTTATGTGAGTTGTGGGTAATCTGTGTGAGAAGATCACGTTGACAACTCGGGCTGTAATATGGCACTTGTGGCGAGACGTCGAGAACTTAAGACCCAACTGTGCTAAGCTAGTATGGGTCAGCAGCCAGTTAAAGCGTTAACAGAACGATCAAAATCTGGGAAAACGATCAAGGCATCTGGGAAGAGCAAAGAGGCTGAAAAGTCAGAATTTCATACTGCTATAGGTAAGATTGAAAATAGATTTTGAAGATCTCTTTCAATTCCGAATCGGATGTTTTTGGAATCTGATCAACCTCAAACACTAATGTGATAATGTGTTTGAACTGTTTGAATATGTAAAGCTTGAAATTTTGTTGTGGAATTTGATCAAATATCTGCTGACCGTAGGTATGTCAAGCAAATACATGTCTCTACGTCTAATGACGTACAAGGAAAGCTTTGACTCTCCGCACAGTGTGATCTTTACCTTCCGTCTAATTTGCAGAAAAAGAAATTAAAAGCGTAATGCACTTGGAAAAATTATGTCCGGCAGCGGCTTGTAATTTCGCACGCAAAATGTACATCACATTTTAAATGGTTAACCAATCCCTTTCGTGGTCTGTAGAAATAAATAGCTCCACACAACGTTAATTCAAGCGAAAAGTTCGCCAATTCAAGCGAAAATTCGCTAATTGACTGCGTTTTGTATGATTTACCTTCCGTCACTCTGACCTTCAGGTATTGATCACTCTTGTAAGCGTGTTGTGAAAACAAACTGCAGCTAAAGATTGAACATTAATCAGCATCTTAAAGCGTGCTAAGCAGGGTGCATACGTCAAAAGTTATCATATAAGCTAGTATTTATTGTTGTTTGAATACTGGCCCCCAGAGTGAAAGCGTACATTTCTCAAGCTTTGAATACTTCCTTTTCCATGCGTGCATTGATTTATCGTTTGTTATTTATATATATAGAATGTATGACAGCCCAGATAAAATATTTCCTTATCATTAATCTGTTCAATTAGCGTTAGACTATTTTTTTCAGTGAGCAATATAAAGCGAGATTGAGAGAGATTTTTCAACCTTCAAATATTTCAAGTCTGGAAGACAGTTTGTGGGTTTTAAGCTGTCCTGTGAAAACTGTAATATCGTAACTGTTACCTGTTGTTTCAAGCCACTTAGTAATAGCTAATCACAACACTTGTATGGTTTTTTGAGTACTCTGCTTAGTGGATGAGAGTACAAAGCTGTCACATTTTCACTTCCCTAAACATGTGATAATTTTAGATTCTTTCAGCATTACTAGTTATGACTTGCTTTGGAAGCAAGATGAATTATTTACAGCAATTTTTTTCAGGTACTCTGTCAGAAGGGAAGTTACAAAGGATCATTTTATTAGCTAGAAGTCTTCATTCCGTTTGGGCTGAGTGTTTTTTTCTTTTTGTAACCAATTGACATTTACTTTACTCTCATGATCGTAAATATGTATAGTATTTGTCTGCAATCGCCTTTAATAAAACTGGGAAAACAGGGTTTCTTTAAATCCCCTTGCAGCTTTTTCTAGTGTCCATCTGTACATCAAATCTGCTTGTAATTAGAAACAAGAATCAACTTGTGTAATAATTGTGCTCTTAATGAATGACTTTGCTTTTCATTTACTTTTAAAGTTGATCTTACAAAGCGACCTTTGCCTGAAACACCATTGGAGAAGTCTGTTGCAGAATGGGACTCTAAGGATGACCTACTTACAGATGACCATCGCGATAAATCAATATTTATTGCAATACATGACTTTCAAGCTGCTGGCAGCAATCAGTTGACTATTCGAACAGGAGAAGAATTGGCTATCATTCGTTTCAATGACACTGAAGAATGGTGCGAAGGTCAAGCTAGAAATGGAAATATTGGCTGGTTACCGAGTAGTTATGTGAAACCTGTGAACAGCTTGGAAAAGCATTCTTGGTATCATGGGCCTATTTCACGTAATGCAGCAGAATATTTACTCAGCAGTGGAATCAATGGAAGTTTTCTGGTTCGTGAAAGTGAAAGTAATCCTGGACAGTTATCTATCTCATTGCGGTTTGATTCAAGAGTGTATCACTATAGAGTCAGCCATGCTCCTGATGGCAAAATGTATGTCTCCACTGATAATAGATTTACATCAATTGCGGAGCTTATTCATCATCATTCTAAGCATGCAGATGGACTTGTAACAACTCTTCATTATCCTGCGGCAAAGACTGATAAACCCACTGTGTACAGTTTTTCACCTGAACCAGATGAATGGGAAATACCCAGATCAGAGATTGCCATGAAACATCGTCTTGGTGGGGGGCAGTATGGAGAGGTTTATGAAGGAGTGTGGAAGAAGTACAACAGACCAGTGGCTGTGAAGACCTTAAGGGTGGGTAGCTCATGTGTTTTCTCACATTTTGTTAAAAAAGTATCTTTTTAATTATTAATTTTGCCTTTTTTTACTTGTCTTATAGACCGGTAAAAGGTTGGTGCAATATATCCTAAAATTGTCATGCATTTTTTTTTTTTTTTGGGAAGGGGGATGACCTCTAACAGACTTTTAATGAGAAATTTCCTTCAATGAAAAGGCATAGAAAGAACAATGTTTGATTCCAAAACCAACTTGAAAAGAGATGTTTAAAAATCATTGATTTCAAGATACTGTTTATTTAAAATAGTCAGAGCATTATAATCTCCAGTTTGAAATGGTGGAAAGACAGAATCATCTGAGTTTAGCAACAAAAGGACTTTTAAAATCATTTCCATCCTTAAGGAAAATAACAAAGCCATCATTCAGAGAAAACTGGGCTTCTTTGATTTCTTTATGGTACATTCAATGGTTCACACTTATGTCTTTACAATGTCATGAAACTGTTAACCTGACCCTAAGCCTCTGACAGTTCATTGGTACAACACCTCATGGTATAAACACCACCTTGGAATTCTTGCATGATAGTAACTAGCATTAATCCTCAACTTCCAGATGTGGCTAACGTGTAACTTCTGCCTATGATATCCATATGTTTCCTAGCAAATGGTTAACTAGGATACTAAAACTTATCAGGAAGAAATTTTTATCTTGATATTACACCAAATTCTCACAAATAATTTACAAGGAATTATGTAGCAGCAAGAGGAGGGAATTCACAATCAGATCTTGAGAGTTGAAGGGTTAAGGTCAGTAAGAATGGCATTAAGTTCATTGGTGTGGCCTGCAATGGTGAGGAGATGAGAGAACAGTTCTATGAAATGTCTGATAACAGCACAATTTGGAAGGGTTCTTTACTCACTGAATTATGAATCATCTGATCTAGGAAGAGACAATGGAGGTGGACGAATTCTTGAAAGAAGCATCAGTCATGAAAGAAATAAAACACCCACGACTGGTACAGCTCTTAGGTGTCTGTACAAGGGAACCACCATTTTACATCATAACAGAGTTCATGACCAATGGCAATTTGTTGGACTATTTACGAAGCACTGCAAGCAAGGATTTGAATGCTGTCACACTGATGTACATGGCAACACAAGTGGCCCATGCTATGTCATATTTGGAATCAATGAATTTTATTCACAGGTAGGAATTTGACATTGTTAAATACAATGAAAAGAGCTGAACTATAGATTGTTGTGGTCCAACTAAAGTACTCTTGTACAGTTGCTAAATATTCTAAAACTTCCTCAGCTGTGCTTGAAAAAAGATAACCAAAATGTTGAAGGTGAAAGTTATATATTCAATTAAGAAACTGAGGATAATGATTTGAGCCAGAAAGTACAATTCAAGTTGTTTCAGTCTACAGTTTCTATCAATTTGCTCTAAGTTTCTATTCTGAAACCAGAAAAAATTTGTAGAATCAAGCAATCAGAAACATTATTTACAAGTAGGCATGGACACTTGCAGAGTAAAAGTCAAGTTTTCAGTAGCTTACAGGTATTGAGAGGTTTTTCTCGTCAAAACATCCATTTAGTGTCCTCTCCTGGGAAAATTTTGGGCATTTCCCCTTCTAGACTTGATGTAGGTCTTTTTTTACATAAATATGAACTCTTTTTCCATCTTTGTGTCTGTTATTGAAGGGATCTTGCAGCTAGAAACTGTCTTGTGGGGAAGAACAATCTTGTAAAGGTTGCAGACTTTGGTTTGTCGAGACTAGTGACATATGACATCTACACAGCTCATGAAGGTGCAAAGTTTCCAATCAAATGGACAGCTCCCGAAGCTCTGGCCTACAACACATTTTCGATTAAATCTGATGTTTGGGGTATGTTATACCCCTTTAGAATTTAGATTAGTCCCTGTTATTTTTTGGTCCAATAAATAACAATTCTGTGGTGGTTGGAATTTTGGCCAAAAAAGAAGATACTTAACAATCAGATCATTTTCTAAATGGCGAGAAAACCTCAGTAGCTTCCCTTAAGGCAGAGGCTCAAAAAGGTACAGTGTAGGAGAGGGTTCTTTGAAGGTAATTACGACAATGACTAGCATTCCGAGTACTAAAAATTCTTGATATAAGAATGTAGTTATTGGACCACTGCATGTACCTTAATCAGGACTTAGAATAATTGAAGAAAAATATTTACTGGGTTTCAAAGAATGCAATGTTTTCATCCTCTCAAAACTGTTATAGGCACTGTATCAGGAAGACAGATTGTCTTATTGTGACTACTGTCAATCATTTCAACCCATCCATTTAAGGATCCATGGATAGTGATTGGTTTGCATCTATTTCAAGATTGGCAGATGGGTTGATAGGTTTTTGTTTTTGTTTTTGTTTACAGCATTTGGAATACTTTTATGGGAGCTTGCAACATATGGTATGTCACCCTATCCAGGAATTGACTTGTCACAAGTGTATGAAATGTTGGAGAGTGGATACAGAATGCCTTCCCCAGAGGGCTGCCCTCAAGAGGTCTATGAAATGATGATGAAATGTGAGTCATCTGTGTTGTGTCTTATTAAATGATCTTATAATTTGTCATGAATGGGGGGGGGAGGGTAGGGGTAGGGGTAGGGGTAGGGGAGGGGAGATTAATCTGTCTTAAGTACTCCTCAACCAGTTTGGATGTTGTGATTGGTGGCTCAGTGAACTGCGCTTAGCAAATTACTTAGTGTAGGTTACCATGTGATAAGCATTTAGCATATTGCTATTAACAGTATCCTGTGTGCAGGAAAGCTGGTAAATGATATTTTGTTTATTAGGTATTAGTTAAAAAAATGTTTTTATTTGCTGAATAAGTTCCCCTCAACTCCTGAATAAGTTAATTCTTCTCAACCAGTTTGGATGTTGTGATTGGAGGCTCAGTTAACTGCACTTAGCAAAATACTTAGTGTAGGTTACCATGTGATAAGTGACACCAATGAAGAACTAATTTTAATTTGAACCAGGCAGTTGTTTGAATTTATGTAATTAAAATAGCAAAATACATTTATTTAGGTTGGAGCTGGGATCCACAAGATCGACCAACATTTTCTGAAATCCACAAATGGTTGAACACAGTCTTCTCAACAACCAGTGTTGATGAAGGTATTTTGTCCATTAAAGACCTGCTGCTTATTTTTTTTTCACACATAATGGTAATTGAACACATGTTAGAGAGAAGTCTTGCTAACTAGTCCACATCATAAGTTTCCAATCCCTTTACACCCTAACATCAGTATGCATATTCTCTTTATTGTTCTCTATATATCTCCCAAGGTGCTGACATGGAGAATTTGTTTAACAATCAGGAGGTTCTTTTATTTTGTTAGAGATCATTTCTTTTATTCTTGTGACCTCAATGTTTGACTCAGGGGTGAGAAATTAGATGCTAGTCACCTTTAGGGGTGTGGGGGTTATTTCACAGAACTGAGCAACAAGGAGTGTTGCTACTCCACCTGCAATAGCTTTCATCCCATTCTGGGACCATGTAGCATTTTGTGATTTTCTGCTAATTTTCCTCTTCCCATTTATACCTGTGCATCTTTGTGGGGGCTTGCTGTGAGAGAGTGTTTTGTTCAATCCAAGAAAACAATACATTGACCTACAGCAGGGAAGATTTTCTAAAACAGATTCAGACATAATATAACAGTGTAATGTTATAACAAATGATTTAAACCTAAGAGCTGAGTCAGAACAATTTAACCCAAGCTAATCTAAATTGAACAGTCATATACATTTTAGATCAGGATTTTTTAAGTAGCTGTTTTGATTTTTTTAAAACAGAAGTGGAGAAAGCTTTGGAAAAGAATAAATCAAAAAAAGATAAAGGAAAGAAAAGCAAGAAAAGAGGTGAAGCCAATGATTCTTTGTCAGCAAAAGATGAGAACACAAGTAGAAAAAAGAAAGATGATTCTCATGGCTCAAAGTCAAAAATGTCCAATATGAAAAAAATTACTAGCTCACTGAATCCATCAGGGCCTCCTCCAGAACCACCAGCTCGGCCAATGCTCAAAGATAAAAACTGGGAGAAAGAAAAGGAGGCACGTCCCTCATTACCTCCTTTACCAACTAACCCTGTGATGTCCAATTTGATGAAGGAATTGGGTAACAGGTCTGGGACACTGAAAAAAGGACCTGATAAAGGAATTGTTTCAAATAGCAGAGAGCAAAAAGAGGATCTTCCTTCAAGATTTACTGCTGATAACCTGCACAAAAGACCACCTGCACCTTTACCTCCAGAATACCAACCTCAGGAGCAGAGAGGAGCACCTCATTTCTCAAACCCAAAACAGCAAGAAAATGGAAATAAGCCTGCTCCACCCTCTCAAGGATCCCGTAAAATCACACACCCGCAACCTTCCAACAAGCCACTTTTGCCACCACCCCGACAGTCTCTACAGAAATCTTTGTCCAGTTCATCCAGTCAAGCACCACTTTCCCCTCCTCCTCAAATGAATAAGAGCACAAAGTCACCTTTGCTAGAGGAGAAAACCAAAGAACTGGATGCCCAGGTGTCAAATAAAGATAAACCAAGTAACTCTGCCAGGAAGACAAGTGCTGCAGGAAGTAAACCCTCTAATCATCTGAATTCAGAAATGGGCAAGCCAAAAAGTCCAGTTCCAAGACCACGGAACAGACCCCCTCCACCTCCTCCTCCAATCTCATTACAAGAAAGTGGAAAATCCACCTCAAATTCAAGTTTGTCATCTGGGGATACAAACCTTTCAGAATTTTCAAATGATGGGCTGGCATCTCCCAAACCTCGCCCAGTACCTCGCCCAAGGCTGAGGGGAGAACAACCATCAGAACAGAGTGATAGAGGTTCTAAAATTGAACCTCTCAGACAACCACCCACAAAATCAAAACCAATGCATCCACCTCCATCAATCCCGGACATTTCCAAAAGACCTTTAACCAGAAATAATTCAAGTTCAAGCCAGCAGCAAGTCAGTTCTTCAGTAGTGAAGCCAAAGTCATCTGGGCCCAAACCAGCTCCTTCTAAACCAAAACCTCCAGTTAAACCAAACATTCCCAGGAAACCTAAAATTACCCCTCCCAGTTCAGGAGCTGATTCTAATCTACCACCCAAAGTAAATGAACTTTTGCACCTTTCTGACCAATGCCAATCAAGGATGAAGGCAATTCTCTCTCTTACTGATGCTAGAGTAATGGATGATTCACATAATAATCTTCTTCAAGCTATTGATGAGCTCAAAGGAATCTCTCTTGAAGTTCTAGAGACATCATCAAGCTTAACTGACTCTCTAGAACCACAGGCACGGTTTAAAGTCCGTCGAACAGTTACAGATCTGGAGGGTAAATACAGTGACATGGAGGGTGTAGTGGAAACTGTGGGACCTAATCCTAATGCTGTTGATATGGAGAGGATTGGAAAAGCAGTGATCAGTTTTTCTGAGGCACTAGAAAATGTGTGTTCCACTGTAAGAGCTACTGCCTCCTGATATTTTATCTGCATTGTGGATACTTGGAAAGAAAGAATCTCACAGTCTTAGAGGAATTTTGAAATGAGACTCAAGAGTAACCTTGAATTGCTTCAGTTCTGTTTTTCCATGCTCTGAAATTGGTCACAGAAAAACTTGGACTTCCCTCTTAACCAATCAGATGCAAGACCTGGTCACTCTCATTTTCCAGTGCTTGAGGCTAGTTTCCGATTTTTACTTTTAATTCTCCTTGACATCTGGTGATATTAATAGCCTTTGTTCTGATTTTCCTTAATGATTTCTTTTGTTCAAATGTAAGGAAAGTCATCCAAAAAGGCTCTTGCATTTTTCAATATTTTTTTATTTTGCAATACCAGTAGAAAGAAGGCTGGCTTTTGATTCATTACTTGCACACTTGTGATTAGCAGCAATCGTCAAGTTGTGCAAGATTTGGGAAAATTTTTTACCCATGAAACACAATCTAGGAAGCGTTTATGTGTAAATATGGGTAGTTTTTAATTTCATTTTTTGCCAGGCTGTTAATGTGCACAGACAGTTTGTGATTTACATGAATCAAAAATATCTCTTTGTCAATGTGAAGCTACACCTGTCGGGTTCAGAAGCACCTTTTCCCAAATTATTAAAACATGTAGAATTAAAACTGTTACAGGTGTCAAACCCTAGACAGCCCAGCAGAATTTCTTTACCCTCCCAAGGAGGAGTTCTTGCTTTTTACTTGCCTTCCCTTTTTATACCTTCAAATATATGTCTGAAAGAAAGGCACCTATTGTAACTTGCATTGTTCTTATATGAAACAACACATACCAGAAATTTGCAAACGATCAATGTTGAATTGATTATGTGAAATAACTAGAAGAGCTAAGGATGCAAAGCCCCCTTCTTTTTTCTGCTCATTGTTTGGGCAAGTTATTAGAAGGAATTATATTTCATATCTCAAATGTTGAAGGAATAATGGGTCATAATTTTTGCATTTGGGTTAAGAGAAAGGCAATAAGCTGTAAACTTGATTGCTCATTACAAGTTTACAATGATAGAGGAATTATTTTTAGACAATACTATAAATTCCCCCAAAAAAGAGCAAATAACTCTTAATTTAATTGAAACACTTGAAATTTGTTATCACTTTGAAGGAAGTATTCAGAGACAGAGTGTAGTAGATGTGCAAATTGAATGCAACTTTTTTTTTTTTTTGCAGTGGTTTTTTTTAACAGAGACAAGCTTAAAACTCAGCAATTTCAATATACCAAAGCTAGTTTTTAAATGAAATGCTAATATTTATATATTAACGTGCATACATTTTTACATGTATTTGTACTTATTCCCATCTGCCATTTACTTTTTATCTGCTATTTTTCCATTTTTTGTTTTTTAATACTCTAACGTTTGGTTTGCACATAGTGGTTCTTCTATTTATTGTTCTTAAGTTTTTATAAATGTTTTCTTTGGATGTCAATCCTCTCCATCTTTCTTGAGATAATTTTATGCATTATCAAAACAATACCCACTTCTTTCAAGCCTGGTTTCTGCCCAAGATTGCCTGGACTACTCTGATCATTCTGAACACTGAACACTGTGCAGTGGATTAGAATGATTGTATGGAAACTGGGCTTAGTGCAAAAAGGTGTCATGTGATCCAGATGACCAGTGTGCTTTTACATTAAACCTGTAATTCCCACCAGTGATTAAAATGCAACTGCTCCCTTTCAACAGGTAATGAAAATACTTAACAACCATTCTCCAAAGTGGAGGGGGCTTGTGGAGGATAGTTAATGAGTCTTGAAGCAGTAAGGTAAATATCTAGCACTGCCCACCAACACTGAGGTGAATTGTTGTTTTAGTATTCACTAAAACAGTGAGATAATGAAGCAAAAAAAAAAAGAGATGATTTTAACATTTATTCCTGCAACGATTACAAAATTTTCAGGCATAAATCCTGCATGTGAATGCTTTGATGTGAATAGCAAAGGATATTCAGAGTATGAGTAGCCAATCAGAGCGCTTGTCTAATGCTATCCATTGTTTAGTAAATACTAATTAAAATTATCAGGTTTAAGTTATTATCCTGATCTAACAAAAAATACTTGTAACCAATTTACAAGGAAATGAGTAGTAGCAAGATGGGAGAATTAAAAATCACAACTTGGGAGTTAAGGGGTTAACCTGGTTTTTGTATCACTTGGATCATCCTTTTTGGCTCAAGAAATGTAGGAGATCAGGATGATTGGGCCATCAAGTAGAAATCAGGCCTTACTCTTATCAATTTTTATACTTGTGAGGAGCAGTTACATTTTTTTATCTACTGCAGGAGTGAATTAAATCTCAGACAATTTCTTTAGAGGGATTTGCAGGGTACAAATTGTGTTTATGATCATAATGGAGTAAGTTTAGTGTGTCATAATCACAACTTGAGTTATATCCTTAAAATAATACCCACACAACTCAACAAAATACCTAGATGTCACAAATATTGTTGTATTTTGACACATTTAATTCCTGAGACATGAATAGGAAATCATGCAATGTTATTCAGTAGTACTTGTGAACTACTAATATAGAACTTATAAGCAACAATTGCTACCAGTAAATCTGCAATAACTGTTTCTAGCCACAAATGTGCATGCATGATGTAATTTGATATTGAGGATTGACATGCAATGAGCTAAATAGAAGTGAATGTTTTGCATTGGAAGAGAGATATTCATTACTTATTTTTGAGAGTTACTGATTTACAGAAAATCTGTTAGCAATTGAAATTATAATTGTACAATTTCAGATGAATGTATCCAGAAAATTTAAAGTTGTTGTCAATAAAGACTTGCAGTAAAAACAAAAATCTCCAAAGCTTTTATTCAATCATTGCTTGATATAATTTTGATGAGGTGCCCTTGATGAATATGAGAGGACTACAAAGTTGCAGGGCTCTGCAAGCACTGTCTTGGAAAGTTTTCAAAGACTACATATTGCACTAGCCCTACAGGTACTTGTTCACACCAAATTACAAATGAAATCATTTTATTTCCAACACTTATCCACCAAACAGGTAACAAGAATACTCGTACATATCCAAAAAAAGGTTATTATCCTGATCTAACCACCATATTCTTGTGACTAGTTAAAAAATCAATGTAAAGCAGCTGCATCACTTTGATGCAATGTTCAATCCTCTTGACAAGTACTATTACCTTTAAACATTAACTTAAGGTGATCCTAAAAATAGTCACAGAATAATTTGCTATAAAATTTCCCAACAAGGGAGAAAATATAGACAAAAAGTATCAACTTTTCTTATCAACATTACTTGGGTTAATTTCTTTCCTTTATTTCACGACCATCATGCCCTATTCTAAGCAAAAATAAAGAACACTAAAGGTGAGATAAGCTATTAATTAGCTGCAGCTCTGTAACTCCAAGGGGATTCCAATAACTAACAATCTCATAAAGCCTTGTTTAGTGCTCATTACTAAGCACTAAAGGGAATGGTGGCATTTAAGTGTTCGACTACATATGGGAGTTAATATAAGATAAAGGCTCTTGATCTTGGGATTAAGATCAAGGTGACTATCATTGTTACCACAGATCATTGCTAATTGTACCAACAAATATAATACAAGGAAAAACCATACAATACCAAATTATGTATACGAGTTCCATGGATATGTTGAATGCATATGAAAAACAACTTTACATGTATTTACCATTATGGTAGTACAATCTAAAGTCTTGAGAAAACAGTTCAAAACAGGTACATTGCTTAAAATAAAACTAGCCTGTACCATGTTGAAAGTGGGCCTGAAAAGTCTAAATCTAAAATGTTTTATTAAATATAGAGGCAATAAGACTGGCTACACATTAGTGTTTAGAGACCCAGCACAAACTCTCTGATGATGTCGGGGGCAGCAGAGTCAAACCCAGCCATGTCGAGCATTCCTCTGTCATCTGGATCAGCCAAAGTAAATCCACTGGATGTCATTGCACAGACAATGAGCTTAGCATCAATACCAGACTGAGCCCTGTATTGCTTGAGAGCCTCACTGGGATGCACTGGTCCTGCCCATGTTTCACAGTCGGTGTAAATAATAAACACATCAACCTTAAGGTTATTTTCCTTGGCATACAACATAGGCTGTGCACAGTCAGTACCTCCCATAGGAACCTGTAAGACATGTCAAATATTAGCACTAGGAAACTGGTGGACATATAAAAACTGATTGTATGACCAAAAAGTTGTAAAAATAACTTGTTGCTCTCCCTGACACAAAGAATAGATAATTTCAAACTGTTAAAATCACTATAAAAAGTGACAAATATTATTTCAATTAAAAGCAGGGCAAGATTTGCTGTGGACAGTTAAACTGAAAGCATGATGTGGTAGGTCTTTCAAATTGGTGCATATAGCCTGAAAGTAAAAGATTACATTCCTAAATTATGTTTAGATACATTGTATAGAACCCTTCAAGTTCTACCCCACAACAGCATAAACCCTGAAGACTAAAAATATATGACAGCAAATAAAATAACTTGAAAAGTCCAAGCTATCCAAAGATGCATACAAATGTTCATTTGGGAACTTGAGATCCCAACTAAGCAGTCAAGATTTACTTTGTAAAAGGAACAAAATCTGAATTAAGCTTAAGTCATTTCTAAACTCACCTGTTCAATGGTTCTTAAAACTGTGTCAAGTCTCTGAGTGGAGTTAATATTAAGAGGCACCAAACGATGTGAAAAGCCTACAAAATGATACTGTGGCTCTGTGCGGGCTGTTAGCATTGCCATGGCAGCAGATGCAACCCTTGGGGTGATGGTTGTACCATTACAGTTCCCCCAAGACATGGAGCCACTGACATCAATAGCCAGAAGATATCTCTTGTTGGTGGGTTGAACAGTCTGAAAACAAAAAAATGGAATTTCTATGAAATTATTTAAAAGTTACAATAATGACCAGGAGTCTGTTCCTTTAGAGTCCTGGTAACTAAAAGATCCCAAAGCCATATTTCAAAACCAAAATTTTAAGAACAGAAAGGTAGATTCTGGTACCCTAACCAATCCATCTTGTTTCTTTAGCTTATAGTCTTATTTCATAATTTTCCAAACTTTTGAAATCCTCTTTTGAGTGAAACAGCTTTATTGGCTGATTAAGTTACTGGGACCTTCACAAAATGGGCCCCAGGTGATATAACTTTCAGGCTTAAATGATAACTATTAATGATGTGGAAAGTGGTTAGTGGAAAGATCTTTTAACCTTGTAAAGTAACATTCCTATCTTTTTATATTCTTCTGACTAGAGTAGCTCTGGATGGACACTCCAGAATAAAAATAATTTAAGTTGATCACTGTCTTGAAATCATATCTGAACCATTTTTAAATTTTTGATAGGTTTTCTTTCAGATAATATAGATTACAATTATCATGCATAATTCAATTCTTTGATCTTAGACCTGTAATATAACTTAACAGCACAGAACTGAGTTCTTACAAACTTAACCTTAAAGCTTATGGGGTTATACACACTTGATATGATTGGTCTTTCTTATGACTAACACAAAAGACAGGTACAAAAACAGGAAACCCTCTCTTTTACAAACCTTAAATGCAATGTAAAATGCTTCATCCAAAGCTGAAACAATTGCTTGATTTGGTTGCCATGTAAGCTTCCCTTTGTCTCCTTGACCTGCTTGATACTGCTTCAGAGCCAGAAGGATGGAGAATGGGTGAACGCGAGCACTCTTGAGGCTCTCCTCATCCCTCAACTTATCACAGACTTTGGTCATTCCATCCGTCAAGGGGGCTAATACACCAACATTCGTCATTTTCCCAAGATTTCTGATCATGGCTGTCATAGGCATTTTTTCAAGGAGTGCTTCCCAGATCTGTTCATGACAAAAAGGAACTGTTTTAATTACCAAGAATAATTCTAAGGCCATGATATACAACCCTCTGAATTTAACAAAATGAAAAGTTAAGTACATGGTTTCAACAAGAAGGTAACAAGTCTTGTGTAGTGCAATTTTGCAGGTGAGAAGTCTTCAAGGAAACCATTGTCTGTGACAATAACTGACATTTCCTCAATCTGAATAGGAGTCCTATTCATGCATAATCACTTGACTTCACTCCAATGACCATTCTACCCAACTTGTCAAAACATCACCTAACGTCATTAACACCAGCCCCTTCCATACACACATTTGCTACAACAATCAGACTACATGTTTAAAAGGAAAAGTGTCAGAGAGATGTTGTATTGTTTCTGAGGTAACTTTTTAAGCCTGGATCATAATTTTAACAAATCCACAAATGATTGGGTATTATAAACCACAAACTGATTTAAGGCAGTACTTTTGACATCAATTAACAAGCATCAATTGCCTTCAAGCTCGATGAAACACCTTATCGATCTCAGTTCATAGATATTTGGTATTACAAGAATTTTTTTCAATAACTTAATTTTATTGCGTTTAAACTAATAAATTCGTTACCTTTTTTGAGCTAAGATGGTTTGTGGGAATATGTTCCCTCACCAGCCCATGCCTTGGAATGGCGCTGACCAACTCGTCTTCACTCATTGTCTTGGCTTGTTCTACCCCTTCTAAAAAGGTGTACACAGAGGTAACATCCTGACTAACTCCAGCCTTCCCAGCATCTTCTTTAACAGCATCAAATCCTTTAATCACATATTTCACAACAAATTGAATAGCTGGATCGGTCGGTTTTACGTGGCAAAGTCTAAACAGGTCCCGGTGTGACCAGCCATTGCGCTGTTTGTACTTGGTTACGGCCATTGCAAGACCGCGTGGCTTCTTCCCATTGTACCACTTTTGAATTGCTTTTCGATGTGCTCTTCCCCAGCCAGTCGATGGTTTGCTTAGGGTCTCGCAGATCTCCACGAAGTTAAAGAGGTGCGTTGGAATTCGCAATACTTCGCCGAGGGCGGCATAAGCAGCGCGTTTGGTTTCCATGTGCTTCGATCGAGCACACAAGGCCAAAGATAGAATTATCGGGTCTTGCTTGGCTGTACGACCCTGTGTGCTGTATTCGACTATAATTTTTACGGCTTCGGGTCCCCTACCTTGGGCGATAAGTCGCATTAAAGCTTGAGCGTTCTCTTGCCCAAGTTGTTGCTGCGACGCGTAGTACGTTCCGCCTTCACTTCCAAGCACGAGGAAGCGTCGAAACCGCACTAAGTCATCCACTTGCCATACAAAACCACCAGCTTCATTCTGTACTTGGTTTGCTGCTATCGGCTGCGATTGTGGCGTATCTGAGGGGTCATTCGCCATTTCCACATCCTGAGGAGCTTGTTGTTCAGCCATGAATCTAATACTTCCGCCTTTGTTCCTTTATTCGTCAAGTACTCAGTTTCACGAGCCTTTTAATTCACTTTCGTTCACAAAATGCACACGGACCGAGCTTACGTATGTTTTTTCACTCTGCTATCGGTCTAAAAGTGTCTAGAGAGGTATATTTTCTTTCTTTTAGACGTAAAGATCTTTGACTCAGCAAGGTGTAATGGCTGACGCGGCAACGGGGCTGAGTGAGTTTAACCCAGACTCCTCTCCCTTAGAAAGAACGGTCCATTCTTTTCCAGATAAATTTTCTACCCGATCCTCTTAAAAAATTGCTAAGTTGGCATTCTTTAACGCCTTGATCCACAATTTTTCAAAAAAATTATCTTGCTGTTACAAAAATTTGAAAAAACGCGAAAAGATTTGGAAGACTTGACGTGATAAGAAACCTCTTGGGTAGACTGGACCCTATACACCATACATTTCATCATCAAGTTGTAATCTGTTTTCTGCTTCGGTAAGCACTTTCACTTCGATTTCAGCAAAATTTAACACAATTGCACAACAATCTTTTTCCATTTTTAAGGGCTTGATTTAGTTGATGATGAAATCGATTACTTCAGGCGAGACAATCACAGATTGGGCTCACCTTGTTCATGGAGAGCGAGAAAGAGATCTTCAAAGTGATGGTGGAGGTTTCGTTACCAGGCCTTTGCGGCAGAGCTAGTTTCGGACTATTGATATACACGATACCCGTCAATAAGGAAGGTTCGAAAGCATAAGTTGGCAGTTTCTTTTGAAATTTACCCTCTTTATGTATTTATCATACTACTGCGTGACATCGTATTTAATTTTTTTTATAACATACCGTATTTCTTGGAATAAGCGCCCAGGCGCTAGTTTAAATTCCATCTAAAAGGAGGGGCGCTTATTGGAAGGAGGATGGTTATTAAGAAA